ACGTAGGGTATGTAGTTGTGGCAAATGTAAAAAAGTGATATACCTTGTGGCCACTCTATAACATCACTAAGAACCTATATATCTGTAGCCATTCACAAAATGGTTGAATATAAGCTGAATCATGTCATGTATCGAGCTACATTCGGATCTGAGACAGTGAATTCTCTTCCATCACATGTGCAATGGGAAATACCAAATGAAAGGGTGGTCGTGTTAACTCCCAAATGGAAGTAGCTATTGATGTACCCCTATCCATTTTATGTCATATTATGTGGTAGTTATGGTTTAATGTTTTAATGAAATGAAAATGGGTCTGTTTTCTTAATTCACGTTTTATGCTCATTACCAAAACAACATACATTAAAGGATTAACAAGACATGAGTAAAAAACAAACAGCGTAACTAAGGAACATTCTATATCTAATCTTCGTTAACTAACATGCATATTAAAAATGAGGGACATTCTTTAAAATATTCCATACTTCCTCATACGTAAACTCTATACCATTAGATTCAAAATGGTATAGCTCCATAGCCACCTGTATGATAATATCTTCATCCATATTCGGACGTTCATTATCCAACTCATTATAAATACGTTGAAAATGCTTGACCTTTTGTTTCAAATCGACAAACTTGGCTTTGAAATTTCTTATTCTTCGATATTGATTAGGACCCATTTGATGGTGAAACAAATGATAGACATGAGACCAAAATGATCTATTGCGAACTTGTGGCAGACCTGGTGGAAAATCCTCCTCCATTTTTATGATCCAAGAATGACTAAAGCGTCCTCTTGTTGGATGCTCCATCCGAGTGGTACAGGTGGGTTCATATTTGAAAGCTAAAACTAAAAGGTGATAGAATTAATATGGATAGGAACAATTATTTATAGTGGCCCCTTTTTGTTAATCCATCTGTGTTGTCAAGTCAAATAGTCGTGTCTTGTGTTGTTAGTCAGTGCAATGGTTTGTCAAGTAAAACAGTCTTCTCTTGTATTGTCAATAAGTACACTACCTTCTTCCATTAAGTTAGACTATGAATTGTTGACAAATTATAAAATTTAACTGTGATATTGTGTAGACACTTATGTGTAGGACATTAAAAATGTGTCATTTATGGTTGTCATAAAGCCTACTATAAATTTACTTTCATTGAAAAAATTGTTTCACTTAAAGATGTATCATTTCTTCATATATTAGTTTTAAAAATTTACTCTCTTTATTTCGCTCAAAATTACTTCAAAACCATGGACCGGTGAGGAGCACTTGTTTCTAATTCATGCATATATTAACATGTATGAGACCAACAAGTTGAATGATCCAATGTTTTAGACTCGTTTAACTTATATCTTTAACGTTGAAACTCGAACAACTCCAAAAAAACTACCATGACAACCTATATATCACAGCAAAATGGTGTGAAATGAGAACAAAATTCTATTATTTAATGATCTTTATACCAAAAGTGACGAAATCTATTTAAATGCTACTGATGAGGTCATCTTGGAAGCTACTAAAGAGGAATACAAATCAATAAGTGACGGGTTGGAATTCCAGTATGAAGCCCACTGGAATATTTTGAAATATGTCCCATTTATTTAATATATATTACTTTCTATTAGGTTTGTACTAGGTTATTTATATGTATTTCGTATGTATTAGATGTACCTCGTCTGTTTTAAGTTATTTATGAAAAAGCTGTGTTATTTTATGAGATTCCAAACGTTCTCATACTAGATTACACATAAACGTAATACACAGTGTTCTAAAAGGTGCGCCATGACGCACGCCAAGGCGCGCCATGGCGTGAGGCGTGGCTCCGCAGTTACGAAAAGCCTCACAACGTTGCTCTTAGGCGTGGCGCGTGGCAAGGCGTGATATGGCGCGCCATGGCGCGTTATGGCGTGTTATGGCGCCTGTTTTTTCATTTGAGACTCAGTTTTTTGCTCTTTGTTAGGTCTTTTCTAATCGGAGATACAAGTATTGTGGTTTTTGTTAAATTTTTGTTATTAGTTATTGATCTAACACTTCTAAAAAGTAGTTATATTTAATATAAATTTATATTTATGTGGTAATATAAATTTAAATTAATACAAAATCGCCGCCTTACATCACGCCTTGAAAAACGCCATGGCTCGTTAAGCTTGAGGCTTGACCTTGCCGCCACACCACACCTCACGCCATTTAGAACCTTGGTAATACATTAATCATAAAACCTTACAAATAACAATTCTATGAAGCATTACACATGAAAGAATACACACTAGTACAAAAATGACCTATGGTCACACTTTTGCCAAAACCGCCCAGCAACACTTTTGACTAAAACTGTGTCTAAAGGTTATTGCTAAAACTCTGTCATTGTTGTAGTGACATTTTAAGTTGTATTTCATGACCATTAGTAATATAGTTGAAACATTTAGACACGTTTAAACATAACAAATGTGACAATTATTAGCCACACCGGAAAAATGAGGCCAAATGTCACCATCCGCCACATATTTGTCAGATATATGGAAAAACTTTGTGATGGTTTTTTTAAGAGACAATATATTATTATATGGGCACATGAAACAAATGTGTATGTGGTTGTATCATGGAGCAAATTTTGACATTTGAATGCAACATAACTAAAAGGCAATATATGGTCACATTAATTATTTGTGTCCCTACTATAACATTTATTACACACTGATTAAGAGCAACCAAACAAGTAACTATAAGTACTTTATGGTCATGTTTAGTGTATTATGTGTGTCTAAAAATAAACATTTGTCATGATAAAAGAAAAAAAAAATGTATAACTATAAGTATGTTATAGTCATAGTGAAAGATGTTATGTGTGGCTAAAAGGTAAATCATGTTCGTGAAAAAAGAAAATACTTGTAACTATAAATAATTTATTGTTACTTTTTACAATTTGGTGTGTGTATAAAAGTAAAATATAGTCATTATTAAAGTAAAAAATTGATTATAAGTATTTAATTGTCACTGATTAAATTATTAGGTGTGTAAAAGCAAAAAAAAAAAAAAAAAACAAAACAAAACAAAAAAATCTTTTGTTAAATACAAAACATATGACTGTGAGTATTTTATTACCAATTTTTAGAACACATAGTCATGATTTAATATCTTATGCTTGTTTAATAGTTAACAATAGTCATGATACAAGAAAAAATATATATGATTGTTAGTACTTTGTGGACATTTATTTATTTCATATGTGTGATTACAAGTAAAAAATATTAATAATCTTAAAAAAAAACATGTGACTTTTAGTATTCTACAACCATGTTTTAAAGGAAAAAAACAAATACTATAAGTATTATATGGTTACGATTTAATGAAAGAAGAACCTTGAACTAGAAGTGTTGTATGATTAAGGTTTAATTTTTACGTGCGACTAAAAGTACTTATCTGAAACTCCATACTTACTCTTCAAGTTTAGGAGTTGCACAACTGCAGACAACTTTGTGAAGTTACAACACCCTTTGTATAGTGGTTTCTCAGCATCTTCAATTAGTTTTTGAAATTTGACATGATCTCCTATGAAAGTTTCTTCTGTGGCTTTAACCATGTCTACTGTATCTTCAGCATCCGTTGGAATTCCTATTGTGAAGCTCATGGATTCATCGACATATGTTGTGTTCATTGAGTAGTTGTCATTAAACGAAACATTTCTTGGTTGGTCCTCTTCTTCTCCATGCTTAATCCATTTTGTATAGTTTTGATCAATTCCATATCTGAATAAGTGATGATCTACTTCTGACACATGAAGACTTATGTGGTTTACACAATTAATACACGGACATGGAATTTTTATTTTTATTTTGGAATCTAGTGGGTCCATATTCATCGAGATCTTCAAATTGCGGACTGCATAATCCAAAAATGTTGCAACTCCATCGATGTAAGGCTTTATGTGTCTATCAGTTCCTATCCAAGACTTGTCCATCTTTTTGTAAGGATCTATTGTAAAAGATATTCATCCCAACATGTAAAATTTGATACGACATTGAACATTCAGTATGGTATGAAAAGTAAAATCACTACAAATTGGACTACATTAAAATAGGAGCAATTTGTTCGATAATTTAAAAAAATATGGGTCAATATTAGTCTAGTGTTCCTCCCCTGTTCGTTATTTTGTCCACTATGAAGTTTCCATTCTTCAAGTAAAATGATATCACATAAACAAACTTAACATAAAAGATTACTATTACTGTTTTCATGAAGTGCATCATCCTAGAAACCATTATGATAATTATTCAGCCACATAAATATTGTAAATCATGTTTCTACAGAAAATTACTAAGAATAATAACTAAATTGAACTGTGGTGGATTATGAACTGTGACTTGATCAAAGAGGTCACCTGGATGTTTCACAGAAATGAGATCAAAGGAAGAAATTCAATTACCTGCACAGACACTGCTCTTTGGATGTTTCTTGACCAACTTTGTGATGTTGGACGAGACTACCCCAGGCTCCTAATCACTTCCAACATTGCTAAGAATTTCATTTTGCAGGTGCGAAGTGGTCATGTATCATAACTGAAATAAACAAATTAAAAAAAAATCATCAAACACCTTATGTGCATAGGATTTAACATGGTAAACACCTTATGTGCATAGGATTTAACATAGGATTTAACACGGTTACGATTGTATTGGTTCACGATATCTAAATTATGATCAATAGCCACATTGAAAACTATAGGTGTGTCTAAAGGATAACAAATGTTATGGTTATGAAAAATTTGTGTGGCTAAACACTAAACAATAAGGACAATAAACATTAGTTGTGTATCTACAATGATTTTATAGTCATGCTTCAATTTAGTATACATGACTAAAAACTAAATAGTATTGTCAATGTAGATAAATGTGTGTCAAAATCTTAACATATGTCACTTATTTCTACATTCATGTGGCTGTATGTTCTATAATAGTCATAGTTATAAAAACATTATGTAACTATACGACATT